TTGACGGAAGGCCCGGGTGCGCCAGCTAAGGTAGTCCCGGAGGTCCGGGGGGTTGTTCGAGGACGTGATTCCGTTGTTGATCAAGGGGTCAAGTCCGTGGTGGAACTTGGTCACCTTGACCAGCGCGTCTTCGAATCCGGCAAGGTCCATCAGGTCCTCGAAGTCGTCAGTGTACTGGTAGACATCCTTTGTGCCCATGTGATAGGCGGAAGTCTCCAGCTTGGAGAGAGCGTGATCTTGCTCGTTCTCCTCGACAAACCGGAGTCGAAACTCGGAAACGAACGAGCCCCAGGACGGAAACGGAAACGGGGCTTTGCTTCCGTGGCGCTCCGCCCATTGCTGAGCGGGTCCTTCTGCCATGAACGACATGGCATAGCGGACGGCCTTTTCCTCGCTCGCCTCTCCGTTGACCACGAAGGCCTCAGGGGCAAGGCGGGCGTAGGTGCGGACCGCGTAGAGGAACGCGCGGCCACGTTTCCGGTCGCCGTTGAAGGTGAACGGGGGGTTTGGTCGCAAGACCAATTTTGAGGCAAGGTTGATGTCGCCAAAAAGGGCTTCGGAGTCGCCCTGGACCGGAGTCGGAGTCGGAATCGACGTCTCCGGCGAAGGTGTTTGGGGTCCGCCAGCATTATTAGCGGCGGCAGCGGCAGCGGAAGCCTGGTTGGTGAGTAAAGCAAGGGCCTCAGTTAGGCTATCGATTTTCGCCTCGAGTGAGTCCATGACGAGGGCGGAACGGACTTGTACTCCGAGCCTGAGTCAGCGCCGAACCTGGCAATCTTGTCCGGTTGATCCCGTAGAGAGTTTCTTCTGCTGTAAGGGCAACCCCGGAGGCCTGAGATCAAGGTCCTAGCAGGGGAGGATCCAAAGCGTGAACATTGGTAAGCGAATACAAATGAAGCTGACCTAGCAGGGGAGGATCCAAAGAGAAGAAACTCTGAGGGTCCGCCTGCTAGGTAGCTGACTATATACTGCTTGTCCGTAGCTGCCGCTGTCGGGCACAGAAGGCTTGGGCGGCGTCGCAGGCGAGGTCCCAGGGCGACCGCCGGGAGGGCATTGACGGATCGGTGATTGTGCGGGCGAGATGGAGGGCTGGACCAGAGTCGGAACCGGAGTCGGACCGGAATCGGGCGCGTCTCCGGGCCGAAAGGGAGGTTCCCCTGACAATATGATATAACATGATTTGAGGAGCTTCTTTTTGCAGGTAGTGAGGCGACGGATGTGGGTAACTGGGGACAAAGACCGTGACGGAGTCAGAGTAGAAGTCGAAGTGGGGGCAGGAGAGGGTATGGCTTTTCCTTGCTCACCTCTCTGTTGACCGTGGAGGCCTTAGGCATGAGGCGGGCATAGGTTTTGACTGTGTACAGGAACACATGGCCACGTTTCTTATCATCGTTAAAGGTGAAGGAGGGGACCAATTTTGAGGCAAGGTTGATGTCGCCAAAGAAAGCATTGAAAATGCCTGAAACCAGAGTCAGAGTCGGAATTGACATCTCAGTGGTGGTGGTTGGGGTGCGCCAGCTGTGTTAGCAGCAGCAGCAGCAGTGGAAGCCTGGGTGGTGAGAAAAGCAAGGGCCTCACACCAGGGGCAAAGCTAGCGGCAGATAGCATATGGCAGTTTGCTGGCAGTTTGCAAGGCAATTTTTTTGCTTTGTTAAAAACAAAGAAACCTTTGTCTTTGCCCAACTGCCGCTAGGTCTGCCATTAGCCAACTGACGCTAGCATTGCCCCTGGTGTCAGTTAGGCTATTGATTTTTGCCTTGAATGAGTCCAACCGAGCATCTGCATCAGGAGCAGCTCCGGAAGGCATGATGGGTGTGCGGACCACAGGAGTGACAAAAAAGGAGGGGACAGGCAGTGACAGTGATGAGTGGAAGTTGGACTTGTTCTACGCGCCTGAGTCAGTGCTGAACCTGGCAATCTTTTCCAGTTAATCCCATAGAGAGTTTATTCTATTGTAAGGGCAACCCCAGAGGCCCGAGATCAGGGTCCTAGCAAGCAGGGGAGGATCCAAAGAGAAGAAATTCTAAGGGTCAGCCTGCTAGATAGCTGAGCTATATACTGCTAGGGATGCCACCCAGAGCCATAGCCCCGGGTCTACGGCACCCGTCAACAGGTGCCCATTACCGTGCTGTCGGCAATCCAGCGAATCGCTGCGACAGCATGGTTATGGGATAGTTTGGACCCGTAATCCCTATAAGAATACGGCCGTTACCGTCGCTACAGGTCAATGGCTGATGGGCCATCAGACATTTAATTTCACAATGGATTTAACCGATTTTGTCTTCTTCTGGCCAGATTCCAGGGATATCATGGACTAATTACCCTTGATAGCCTGTAATTCAGTTCAAAGTAGACACTCGTGGCCTAGAAACACACCAAGCCAGCTTCCGGTAGGGCCGGTCTTCCCCGAAGTGCTTCGTCTGCCAAGTTCTCGGGCATGTGCTTTGCATCCACATGACTACAATCAGTCTTTTATATGGAAATTCTGAAGTTTAACCTAGACTTATGATTGATATACGAGATATTGTACTTTGGCTGGCTGTACTATAAATTTCTATTAACAGTAATGTAACGCAGCAGTAAGGTTCATAATCACGTTCTGAGTTTCTACCTCATTGTAACTGTCTTCAGTAAGGGTTGGTTTGAATTTAGAATCATGTTCACTCCATTCAAATTGATTGGGAAGTGAGCAAGGAGCCATATGACCATGATAGACAAAGTCTTGTGATGAAATGACAGATTACTCTTATATTAAGCAGATGTCGTGTGAATGTATGCACATGTTTGGCATCAGCTTTAGCAATTTATTTACTCCACATTTCCACTTTTGGGACCACTGCTGTTGAAACCCTAATTTGGTAAGAAAAGCTGTAAAGTCTAATTGGGACATAAAGCTGTAAAATCAAGATTTTACATCAAGTACCATAAACAAGTCCAATCTAAGGCTATTTGTGATGTTGTTGTTGGCTGTAATATTAGTATAGAGGGCATGTAGACCTTGATATTTCATAAACTCATGAATAAAATTGGCATATTCAGTCTGCAAAAAATTGTGAAACAACATTTGAAGCTGGGGCATAGCCCCAGCCTGTCTAGTCTAAAATTAATGAAATTGTTTTGCACTATGACATTCCCAAAAACCACATATATGACAGCAACATCATGATGAATATATGTCTCTACTTCCTCTGCCAAGAGGGGGGACTTTCCATCAGAGCTCCATGACCAGAAATAGAGAGATTTTTTGTAGCAGGAATTGGTACAGAGCACATATTATCCTCTATTTCAGGTTTAAGTTCATTCAAAATCAGAAATATTTCTGGAGTGCAGGCATCTAACATAAAGGTTCCCCCAATTTGGTCAGGGTCCCAGCTTTCCAGTAAATACAGATCAAGGTGGGTATCTTTGATAAGGACTGCAAGCTTTAAGACATATAAGGATTGATGTTTTAATACCTACATGCTTAAGAACGTGTTAGCTAAGCTTATATCAAGTTATTTTGGCATGCATACCAGATCCTTACCCAATGTCCTGATATTCTACAGCAGATTTTCTCCTCTGATCATGATTGGGATATTAGCCGGTAATCATGCTATGCATGTGGGGCCATACCTTCACAAAGTCATCAACTATATATTGTACAATTGTAAACTTCTCTGAGCTTGGAAATACAGTTTCATGGTGGACAGTCATTTCAGAGGAATGGCACAAAGAGTAGGAGTAGGACCGGGGGAATCCTATGGAGTAGGACTCAGTCCCATTCTAGTAGGACTCAGTCCTGTGTGGAAGCGGCATATCAAATGTATGACACTTGATATCATGATAATGCCATCATAGTATGATGATAAATTGATTGCAACAATAAATATTTTGTTATAATTAGTGTTAGTATGTGTTTGTTAGTGTTTGGTTAGGGTTTGGTTAGGGTTGGTTAGGGTTCCGTTAGTTAGGGTTCAGTTAGTTAGGGTTCGGGTAGGGGCAAGGAACGTATATATATGCTGTTGGGGAAAGTGCTGAGTCAATGCTATAACTTGTTAGGGTTTGGTTAGGGTTTGGATAAGGGGTAAGAATGGTTAGAGAGTAATATAATATCAGTATTGAGTCTGATATAATCATTGATTGCTGTTGACAACATTTGTTGATTGATTTAATTATCAATATCTGACAGCGGAGTGTTGTAATCAATAGGACTGAGTCCTATTCCATAGGATTGAGTCCTATTCCATGGGACTGAGTCCTATGCAGCCAGTCCTACTCCTACTTTTTTCATATATACTTGTCATTTCACCAGTCTTGATTACTTTGACCTTGCCATTCTGTTTGCTAGAGCTTTGGAGGATGTCAAGTCTGGCAAGCACAGGACCTGGATTAATATATCCCCATTCGATGTTGTCAAATGCTCATGAAATCCATTAGTATAATGTGTTCTTGAGTTTTTATGATTTGTTATACCATTTTCAGGGTCTTCAAAGTTGGGGACTAGCTTTGCAGACGAAGAGCTGAAAACTTGTGTATAGTTCCCCATAACTTGCGTGAAATTTCCGCCTGAGATGTGCTGCACATTCTTGAACAATGTTGGAGGACCCTCCTGCATTTGTGCATAAGAAACCATTTTGACTCTACTATCGTGTGTTGAAGCTTGTGACTTGTCAGATGACTGTAACTATGAATTTGTCTGAGGAGGGTTCTGCTTTTGACCATGGGATAGGGCTTTGGGGGGCGGCGACATGAGGGGGAAAGGCAAGAAACACAACTTGAATGCTGTGCAACTGGGCAAGGGTGGGGCAAAGTTGCGTAATCGACCGCTCATATCGGTGCAATGCCGGGTGCGGATGGATTGGCAGATTGGCGCACAGTTTACATTGAGAATTATCATAAATAACTCTACAGCGCGGGTCTTGATCGGGAAGGAGATCAGAATAAATCGTGGATACTGTTGCCGCAGTAGCCGGAGAGATATCAGAAACAATCCATTCATGCAGTTTTGCGCCATAAACTTCTCAGACCTTTTCGTTCTCCTCGACCTTCTCCTCGCCGCGCTTCTCGTCGACATCGCGATCCGCCACGGCGGTCTGCTCCGAGCGTGCGTCGTCAAACACGTCCACACGCGTGCTTGCAAACTGGCGTGCGGGCACGCCCTTCTCGAACAGCAGGTCAAGCTCCGCAAAGGTGCGGTTTTGTGGCTGCCGCGAATTTTCAGTGTTCCGCCGTACAAGCCCGACGATGAACAGACCTCGGGTACGCGGAAATACGTGTATATGATGCAGCAGAAGCAGATCCCGCCCCAGAAGAAGCCGGTGTAGTTGCTCCAGTCCCACGCTGTTGGGTTCAGCATGTACGGCGTCAGCACGGAGGTGATGATGCCCACGACGTTGCTGTTGCACGCAAATTAACTCGACGCGAAGAATAAAATAAGCGGAAAGACGCACTACAGATTCCGGCCCAACACAACCGTCTTTATCGACAGTCGCCGCGTGCTCAGCTCGCCAACGAGCGAATAACACACCGTGCCCACAGTGCACTGGTATATCAACGCCCACACGAGCATCAAACTCCCCGTCGCCAGCGCCGCCTGGTCCCGATGTCGCTCCGGCACGAGCGCCAAAAACCCGAGACACATCAGGATAGTGCACAGGCCCATCAGGCCGTAGAGGTAGAGCGAGCGCCGGCCGACGCCGCGCGACATGAGGAACCATGCGCCGAAGACGCCCGCGCAGTTGATGCCATATTGCCCGAGCGCGAAGTCGTATGACTTAGACGGCTCGAGCCCAGCCTGCTCCAGGAAGTAGGTGGAGTACCCGGTGAAGGCGTTGCCCGCCAGATTTTGCATCGCCCAGCACATGCAGACGATCTGCGTTAGTGATTAGCTGAAAAGGGAAAGGAAACAGTAGACACACCTCGGTCCTCCGCAGATCCGTCCCTTTGAAGCAGTCCCAATACGTCGCCCCGCTCGTGAGTTTCTCCTCTAACTGTGTTGTGTGCTTCATCATCGCAAGTGTCTCGTCCGCGTCGAAGTCCGTCTCTTTCTCCACACTCGTTAGCCGCAGCAAAGCCTTCCGCGCCTCCTCCATCCGGCCTTTGCGCACGAGCCACCACGGGCTCTCTGGCGCCAATAATACACCGACAAATAGTGGCAACGGCCACATCCACTGCAAAGCATACGGGATGCGGTATGCCCACTCGTCTGTCCGCCCGAGCATCGACTTGATCACGCCAATGCCGATGACCTGGCCGATGCCCCAGCAGAAGTTGACATAGGTGGTGAGGTACCCGCGCAGCGCGACGGGGCAGACTTCGGAGGCGTATGTAATCGTCACTGTCATTCGTCAGCACCGAACGGGCGGAAAAACGACCACCCACAGGTTTGGAAAACACCCCACGGAATCCCACATAGAATCTCTGCAACCTGGAGCGCGATGACGTCCTTGGCGGTGAAGAAGATCGCGGTGAAGGCCGCGATTGCGACGAGGCAAGTCATGACCGTGTAACGGTAGCCATAGCGCTCCGACACCCAACCGTTAAGGAAGAGCCCAATGATTTCGCCGACGTTTGCACCGTTGGACAGCCCCGCTTGCCACCGCGCCGGCACTTGGTATGTTCCATCCGCGCCTTGGACACCGTATTTTTGGTTGAACTGCGGGAAAGCGTCTGGGGTTATGAGTTCAAAGGAACGGGGAAGGACCGGTGGCTTGACGCACAGAAGTTTGAGAGGAGGCAGACGTCGTAGCCCTCCATGCAGATGCAGGTAGAGATGAGGATGCTCCAGGCGATGGCCTTGGGGTACAGCCGGACCCCGTCCAAGAGCGACATGGCGTGCTCTTTATCCGTCGCTACCTATGACTCGTTAGCTGGATCGTGCGGCGCGGGCCCGGGAGGCAGAGAGCAGAGCAATGGACGCGAAGATTCAATCGACAGAAAGAAACAGCAAACCCGAAAAAGTGCTCACCTTCGCATTCCGAATCATCTCCCTCGTCGCCTCATCGCCCTTCCCCAGCTTATGTGCCTCGTCAAAGTGCAGCGGCCCTCCCCCTCCTTCGTTGACAGTCTTTGTGGTCTTCTCGTCGTGGGTCATGGTCGGTCGTAAAAGCCGTTAGGCTCGTTCCTCTTCCAGGCACGCTGGCAGGGCAGAAAAGGTGGAGACAGACGCGGGGCCATGGGGCAGGCGTTTTATGCGGGCTGATCGGCACTCGGCAACCGTATCTCATGGTCCGCGTCACACGACCTGCCCGCAATGGGGCTTCTCGTGTTAAGAAGCGACGTCGGTGATGCGTCGCGTTTCACGCGCCTGCCACTGCATCGACAGACATAGCACGGCTGTTGCTTGGGCGGTCTCCACGGGCGAGAAGTGGTGGGACAGTACAGGCAAGCTTGGTGGTCGCTGGGGGAGGGTGCGCGAGGCATAACGGACGGCGGTTGGCCCGATTAAAGCTCAGGAAGAAAAGAAGAGCGCCACGCCACGTGTTGATGATGGCGCGAGGTAGATTACGTATCGCCGCGCTGGTTGATTCCATTTGATTCTGCGTTACTTACTGGCTTTAGCAACTTGTTTCAAACTTGTTTAGGAATGTTACAGTGATTTTGAAGAATTTTTATGAAGGTGAGGCACTGGTTCACATCGAATTTCACCTCAATGCTGTTGACCTATGAAGGTACTATCTCCAACATTTTGTTGATAATCACTATATAAAAGCCCTCAATTGTTTATATCATTTTTGGTTTAGGAAAATTGCAAAAAAAACAAATCACCTGAAAAAAAGGAAAAGAAATATCATTTAAGAATTTTAATCTTTTTTATATAATTGTTCATAAAGGAAAATTATGCAAACATCCCAGTGATATGGTCATTTATCAGGGGAAAAAAAAATTATAACCTACCACAATTATAAGATGAATTGGGCCAATCACAGCATAGTATATCTAAACAGTCTAATAGAGCTTATTAGCAACTCCAAAAAAATGCTTGCTTAGCGTTTTTCTGGCCCTCTGATTGGTTGAGAGGCCTTAAGCAAGCCTAAGCGAGGGATTTTTTTGCGCTGCTAATAAGCTCTAATCATTCAGGATTTTTCTACAAACCTAATAAGTGCTTCTATGATAAACACCCTAGGCTTTCTTATGCTAAGGCTTTTGGCAGACAGCTGCTCCTCTAGAATCTACACTTCCTATAATCAACAGAGGTTGACTGAGATTTGACTGGGTAACTTGCCTCTATCTTCATCCTCAGGTGATCAACCTCCTTTTGGCAGCACATCATCCATATCCAATGTCCATTCAACATGATCCAAAGCATCCCATAACAGCTATAGCATGAGTTGACTAATTTCCCTCTCAGTCTTGTGGCTTTTTGTTGCAGCCTGCATAAAAATAGTATCAGCATCATATCAAAAATATATAAAAGCCTTACCTAAAGATATCTTCTTTCAGGGTCTCTTGCTCCTTTTCAGGAATACCCAGCTCTATTAGATCCCAGTAGGCCAGCTCCAGTCTGATTATTGCAATTCTAAGCCCCTCACTTCTTCTTGTTGGGGAAGCCAGTCTGATCAAGACCATGATAAATGCAGTCAGAGACAATGCAATGAGAATCCCATATATGAGTGGTTTGGGCATTGGGCCTAGGATTCCGAGGACAGAGGAAGCAACTGAAGCTTCATCAGAGACAGTAGAGGCCGACATGATTCAGAAATCCTTCTGTTGTTGGACCACTTTTTATAACATTTCCAAGACTTTCTTTGTATGTGCTTGGTAGGGAAAATTACTGCCTAGAGAAGGAGTGCTCCGAGTGATCATATACAATATATATGCCAAGTACATAGACCCAAGCAAGATTACAATTTGATTACAATCAGACAAGACCTTCTCCGGCTTATTGAGGGTCCCTGTCCCCACTAGTCTGTTTTCAGGCTCTAAGCTGTCAGTCTTCCCCATTGAAATCTAAAGCTGTATGCTACTTGGCATATTCATTCAGGAACGGCAGTCGTAACTTGTAAGATTTCACCGTCTTCTGCCGATCAAACCGTCAACTCCACACCGCACGTGCGATTAATCAACAGTGACGTCAGCCTCTTCCTTTGCTTCCCGACCACGACCACGGCTACTGACGCAGTCGACGCGGATGCCCGAGGTATGCTGGTCTAGCTCGCCGTGGTCATGAGAGATGAAGCTAACGTCGTTGCAGCCCTGCCATACCGAAGGTAGGCGTTTCCTGTTTCCGGGAGTCGGTACGACACCAAGTGCTTACGACGACGCATAGCTTGCGCCTTGCAGACATGTCTGAACAAGAACACATATGCACCGGAGAAGTGCGAGGAGCGTGTGAGGGCGCTATACGCTTGCTGTCAGCGGATGTACGATGCAGCCGACGCGGGGAAGGGGAAAAAAGTGGAGAGTGCGTCGTGTCCGATGGAGAGCGTGGTGAAGCGGTGGCTGAAGGACCATCCCGGGAAGGCTAAAGTGCGTCTCTTGTCATCCCCACGAGTATGTTCATAACGTTGTTTCGTTAATACAGTGAATATATTTCAATTGTCCACCCTTCTCCTTTCCCCCTCCGTTCCCGTCGTCATCGACACCCGCGACCTTCTTCCCCGTCCCCGCCACCACTTCCCTACGACACCGAATATCCCGACGCCAAAATAGATGCAGCATATCAGGGCAATAGATATTGCCGCACATACCAAGCCCGTCACGATCCGCCACACCACCCAACGCCCTACGCTCGGCCGGCCCGTCGTGGGGGACCCGTGCTGCCGACGCGAGTGCAGCAGAAAGAAGCCAGGGTGATGTTTCCGGTGCGGCAACCTCCAGGAGACTTCAGTTCGGCTGACACCGAGGAGGACGAAACGTTTACCGCGGAAGTGCTGCCGCCGAATGGCTCAGATACACATTTTTGCGGGACATAGATGGTTGGGGCGGGAGCGGCTGACGTGGAAATTGATGTCGTCGACTGGGATGTGTTCAGCGATGATGTCGACGCGATGCGTGTTGAGGAGACGAAGGATGCGCTTGAAGAAGTTACGGCCATGTTGGTGCTGGGAAATGAATGCACATATCTTATACTCGGCGTCGAGGCGAAGCATCTGCTGTGCGATAGGGTTAGAATGCGTCTGCGCATAGGCGACCCGCGGGTGTCTCTAAGGACAGCGCGCCATCACGAACGTTGGACCCGCCAATCTTCGCGCCATCAAAATGCGAACCGGTCGGCGTCAGGCACGTGCCAGCGCGTCGGCCTCGCCGGCGCACCACACCAGTTAACCCATTGCAGCAACCAAATGCGTGATTTAGGCCCAAGTATGTGCAAGGTTACTATTAGAATACTAATGTCTTGTATGTTGTCTGCTCCTCAAGCTGATCCAAACGATATCCTTCTTTTTTGAGCTCCGGCAGCCCCAAATCAGGACTGTCGGTCCCGGCCGCCATCAAATTTACGTTTGATCTCGGGTAGGCTGGACGCCCGAATTTGCCACCTCTTGATTACTCATGGAGCTGGCATGGAATCCACTTCGACGGTAGCCGTATCTCCTCTACCCCACGCTGCCGCACGTCATCGACGTCTTCTCCGCCCCACGAGAAGCAACCGATGCTCATGTGATGCCCCTTATCGTGTGTGGCCGTGCTATAAAGTATGCCGCCTCTGTGCTGTGGTGTGTGCTTTCTCGTCCCTTACCGTTACCCGGACGATTCCACTTACAACCGCAGATGTCATCCATCAAAAGCGAAAAGAGCGGCAACGACAGCGCGAACGCCGACTTGGAGAAACAAGCAGTCGTGCTGGAGGTAGTGGGCGAGGACAGCAACGAGCGGGTGGGTGAGTCGTTCGTCGTTTCCTCCGGACGAGCTGCTTGACTTCGGGCCGCTTATCTGTGCCCGCCCGTGGCGCCGGAGATAACGGAGGTTCCACACTCCCGAACACCTTCTTACCAAGTCCCGCAGACGGTTCGAACACGCTTGAGACGCCAGAGGCGACGAAATCGTTCTGGGGCCGCATCCTTGCGCTCACGGCCATCCTTGAGCGCAAAATCGGGATCGAGGCACGCGGAATCGAACACGTGCCCGAGGACGAGCGGTTCGGCGACCCAAGCGAGAACTTCTTCATGTGCGCGCGCGATCAATCGATTCAGTTCCTTCCGCTTCTCACCTCGGGTTTTCCGCAGATGGATTGCGGCGAATACATCGGTCGCCACGTTTGGCGTCGGGGTGCTTGGCCCCGGAACGTATTCCCTTGGGCTTGGGGACAGTCTGCTCGTGATAATCCTCACCAATGTCTTCACCACCATCCTTCCGGCATACATGTCCACCTTTGGCCCGAAACTCGGACTCCGCCAGATGACGTCGGCCCGATACTCCTGGGGATGGCACGGCGCCAAGCTGGTCGCACTATTGCAGTGCATAGCCTGTGTTGGGTGGAGGTGCGCTGTTTTCCCCCTCCCTTTTGCCGAGGTTCACACAGAGGGATATACAGCACCGTGAACGCCATCGCGGGCGCCCAGACCCTCCGTGTTGTAGCAGACGACAAGATCTCTGGTGCAGTAGGCGTAGTTATACTCGCGATACTCACGCTTGCGTTTGGGATGCTGGGCTACAAGTATGTCCACCTCTACGAGAAGTGGTCCTGGATACCCACCGCCTTTGCGTACGTTGTCGTCCTCGGATGTTCGGCGAAACATTTCGTCAATGTCCCGATGGGAGTGTGCGTCATCTAATCCCTTTGTCCAGTCTTGTGTTAACTACAAATCAGTGGCCAGGCGGAAGCCTCCAACGTTCTCTCGTTCATGGGCGTCATCTACGGGTTCTCAGCCGGCTGGGTCTCTTATGCAAGTGACTACAATGTCTACCAGCCAGCTGACACCCCTGCCTGGAAGACCTTCATCTGGACTTATGGTGGACTGGTCCTTCCCATGACGCTCCTTCAGTGCCTTGGCGCTGCCATTGGATGTGTAGCAACGGGGAAAGCCCCCTCCAATGATGCCTGGGCTAATGCTTTCAATACTGACGAGCTGGGTGGACTGCTTGGAGCTGTACTCGACCCTGTGGTTGGCAACTTTGGGAAGTTCTGCATGGTCTTGCTTGTGCTGAGTGTTGTGAGCAACAATATCATTAGTGAGTTTTTCTAAACTCCTTCATTTCTGGTTCATTTGCTTCTCACTTAGATGTCTACTCCATGGGCATGTCTATCTCTGTGCTCGGAGTCTGGATTGCTAAAGTCCCTCGATTAATCTGGCCACTTGTTATCACAGCAATCTACATGCCCATCTCCATTGCAGGGGCCAACTCCTTTGCAATCTCACTGGAGAACTTTATGAATGTGCTGTCTTACTGGCTCTCTATCTTTGTGGTGGTTGTCCTCATTGAACACTTCCTTTTCCGGCATGGCACCTACAGCTCGTACAATGTTGTAGAGACTTGGAACTGCCAGGATCGTGTACCCCTTGGGCTTGCAGCTGGTGCTGCCTTTCTGTTTGGTGCCCTTGGCACAGCAATGGGTATGGTGCAAGCATGGTATACTGGAAAGCTTGGTGCCCTGGTTGGTGGGGAGGCCAATCCATTTGGAGGTGATATTGGGTTTGAGCTGTCAGGAGTGTTTGCAGGGATTATTTTGTAAGTACCAGTTTTGCTAAGGGAAATGACTGATATTAAACTGTATAGTGTTCCTGCAAGATATCTAGAGCTCAAGTACATTGGGAGGTAACAGATCTCTATGTATTTTTGCAATTCAAATGTTATACTTCAATGAATTCTGTTCAGGCTGTAAAGTATGTTCTTGCCATCTTGGGCAGCTTGGTATTAGTGTTTGTGGTTTCCCAAAGGAATTAAACAAAACATTCTCCCAAAAAGGAAAGAGAAAAGAAAGAGAATTGTAAGATTCTGGATAATGCTTTTATTATATACTATACTATTGTAATGATTTCCTCACCCCCATAGTGCATATGTAATATGTTTGTTGTGCCTTCCCCACTGGGGAACTTTAGTGCAGAAACAGATGTTCAAAAAAATTGAAATACTGTAACAGATACTGCTTCTGTATATTTTGTTCAATAGCTTGTGATTGGAACATTTGCCTTAAAAAAAGTCTTAAGCCACTCTAGTGAATATACCATAGCAGTAAAGAGGATATATGTTTTAGTCTTTGTTTAACTTGTTGAAATAGGTAGGCAGGGGATAAATGATAGAAATGTGTATTTGGGGGACAAAGAGAAGAGAGATAGTTACAGGGGACTGAAGGTCTGTGAAGCCCATATATAGTATATACTCTAATAATTTATTCAATTTAGTATTGAAAAACTGTGTGACATTGGTGCTGAAATCATGGGTACTCTATGTGACCACTGAAAAAAATTTAGCACATTTAGCGGCATACAGGGCCACCAGAAATTTTTGGTCGTTATCGATGGTCGAAGTTCGAATCGGGTCGTTTTGGGCCCTATGAGTTGGTGATTCCTTCTTGTACGGAGGGAGGCAGTACTTCTAGGCAATGGAGTACATGGTATGCTATCATGCGTTTATATACGCAGGCCCGCAAAGGGGTCATCGGACACCCCAGCCTCTCCTGCTCCTCCTCGCCCCTGTTCCCGGCCGCAGAGGGGACAATCATACATCCCTTGTGGGCCAGGCGCTACTCCTAACCTCCTAGCGCTTCCCCCCCCATCCCCTGGTATCAAGTTGGGCTCAGCAATGGCTCGACACATTGTTCTTGGTCACATGCTTCCCACATGTGCATTCCTTCTACTGGGGTGCCTGTTCCCCATCATGACGTGCCGGGTCTTATCTGTGACATATTGTACAACATAATAAAAAATATATGATGCTAGCCATGGCATGCAAGTCCTGTAGCTAATCAGTCAACTCATCTACTACTGTATACATATACTTAAGTATATATATGTAATATATATATATATATATACATTCCACTCCATACAGTATCATAGCCTACAATATATTGAGAAATATTGAATATCACAGGCGCATAGCACAGGTTTGACCCAACCTAATGATTCACTGTAAATGCATAGCTGACCTATGTTGGCAAGTCCAATTAGTTGATTCTTTATATGAATTTCATGTAATTATAAGTCATGTAAATTATTTCTGTGGGGTGATATGGCGTGTGACATGTGACTGACAGACTGAATAAAATGGCACAGTAAACCCTTCACATATAAATATAGTCCCCTGCTCATGATCATTCTTGGCTGATAGACAACACTGTATTCCAAGACAGTCAAATTGAAATAACTATAGTATGGGCCAATCAGTGAGTATGTCAACCAAACTTCCCGATGGGTGCTGCATAGTCAGCTTGGTGTTGGGCCTGACACATCATTCTTGGTCACATACTTCCCCATATGCATTCCTCCCTTCTGAGATACATGTTCTCTGTTGTTGCATGCTGTGTGTTGTGGGCCCTTGGTGGCCCAGCATTAGTGCTGGAGAGGATGGGCCGGGTCTTATCTGTGCCACTTTCTGAGCCATCCAATATCTTCCTAGGTGTGATCTTGTACTAACTGACCTCACATCCACTGTCCCAATCTGATGGCACATGAAAGATCAAAGTTGTGTACTTCAAATGGAATCAATAAATATTGAATATCAAAAAAATCAATTGAGTGAGATATAAGAATCTAATCATCTGTGATCAGATAAAGTGAAATTGTAGAGAATTTAATTATAGCCAGTAGTGTAAAGAAATGAAAGTTTAAATTCATTCTCTTTAAGAAGATATAAGGCCCTGGTCAGGGTCTGGGGTGGAAGACCCCGGGGCCGGGGCCACAATATCATTCATTCCGCTGATCAAATAATAGATGACTCGGCGACGACAAAAAATTGAGGGTACTTACAACACCTGACGAAGATCCCCATCAATCTGACGAAGATGGCGGACCTGACAACCTGACAAACATCGTGCAGTCATGGCCGAGCTTGGGATGGAGTGCTTGTACTCCAGGGGTGAGAGTGAGGGGAAGGGGGGAAAAGGAAGAATGTCATTTTGGCATTTTTACTGGTATTTTCCAGTGCACCCAGCAGATGTTCTTGGAACACTTCTGCAGACTGAAGTTCATTACTCCAAACGCTCAAAAAAAAAAAAAAACCTTTTGGTGTGATGAAAAATTTTAATATCCGGATCAAATTCCCGCAGCATGTCACGATGTGGCATTGGGCACTCAATTGTTGATGGCAACCGTCAAGTCCCCCAAGTGGTAAATGCTACCGGCCCTAAAGTTATATATTTCATCTACTTATATTGTCTGATTTAGTATGCCCTATAGATACTGTGTTTGTGTGAATTTCTTGTAGGTATGGGTTATTTTGTAATAAGAAATTCAGACATAGTAATTAAATTTTGTCAATATTTTACAGATTATCAAATGGAAATTAATGAATTTAGCTTACATGACAGGAGTGCTGGGATACAGACAAATATACCATCTGGATTCCAGCTGGGATTTCCAGCTGGACAGAAATGCTGAATATCAGGTAGAAACTATCTGGATCCAGCTGTTGAGTTATATAGAAATCAGCTGGAATTCCCAGCTAGATATCAGCTGTGGACACTTTGGCAAGGGTACCGTGCAAGAAAAATCCTAGACATTGGGTCGAAAAAGTGAATTAAGCACCAGCCAGCCCTCCCTACCCTATTGACGTAAGCATGACTAAGCCATGTGACTTCCCAAAAAGGAAATTGTTTGTCATCTGTATCTGTAAAAGACACAGCACTGGGCTCATTGGATTCTCTGCCAGGGCCATTTAAGACATACCATATGGGAAGGAAAGAAGAAAATGTAAATGACATGCTTGCATGTCATTATTTAGGACTGTACTTATTATCAAAATCCAGATTAGGATATAGGCCCTCAAACATTCCATATTCTTTGGCAACAAGTCCTCAAAACATATAACTGTGCATTTCTGGTCCTCCTGGATGTGTATGAACCTTCCCCAGACATAAGTCCAAAAAGTGAATTTTCACCCCAGTGACCCCCCCTACCCTATGTGACATGTGTGACTTAATGTCACCAGCTGATGATCTGTGGTACCCTTGCACTTTGGTGGTGTACAGAATCATAGTAAGTATACTTATTATATTCCATTTTGCAGGCACAATTGTTGTATTGGGGTCTCTCCATTCGGACCCCAGTGGTCTCTATCCTCGCGCCATCTCCTGCAACCTTGCCCACTCGAGCAGCACCAGCGCAAAGTAGCAGTCGTTCTGCGCGTCCGTCACGACCTGCTCCGCCACCGCCTTCCCGCGCGCCTGGATCATCCGCGCCTCGTCGTCGTTCTCCTTCGCCCACTCGATCTTCTCCAGCAGATCGGACAGGTCCGGCGCGACGGGGACGTAGTGCTCGTACGGGCGGAGCCAGCCGTTGAAGTACTCCTCGAACACCGTCATCCGCGGTGGGGGTCAGCCGTCCGTCGGATCATGTGACGACAACACACACACCTTGAACACGAGGCTCCCCGAGCGCAGCAGGCCCAGGAAGCGCCCCGAGAACGTCGTCCCGTCGAGGTCGAGCAGGTACTTGTACCCGTACGCCGTCTCCTTCGGGGTGCGGTCCCCCGTGATGTGGTACTCTGCCACGATCTGGCGCTTGTCGCACACCGCCTCCCCCGCACAGCTCGTCCGCAAACGAGGTTATTATTGCGTTGACCAGGTCGGGGTGCGTCCGCCCGAGGTCCGCGGCCAGGAAGCGGGTGAAGTTGCGGTAGTTGGCGCCGACGATCTGCCCGCCGCTCGCGAGGCCGCGCCAGTAGACCTGCTCCTTTTTACGGGCCCAGGGCACGTTGTCTGGGTAGGAAAAGGCACCGTACCACCACGACCGCTGGTAGTGGTACTCGATCGGGAACAGGATGTCCGCGAAGCACGGGCTGATTTTTGCCATCGACAAGACGGGGTACAGGTCCTCTGTGAACTGGCTTTTTGCGCTCGAGAGAAGAACTAGAAGAGCGTCAGCGCACAGCAGCTTTCGGGGCAAAGGGACTTTCAGGCGCTATCGTCGTTGGCAATGTCGGGGAAGCCGTCGGGGCTGCGGAGGATGGTGCAGCCGGGCTTGCCTGCGAAATATGTCTGCGTCCGCTCGGGGGACACGTTGAATGGATCATTTTCCGTCAGCTTGCGTGCGCGCTGCCTTATGTAGGGCCCAGGTTGGCGGACATCAAACACGACGCGTGGCTGGTCGCGGGCATTGATGACGACGGTGAGGTCGGGGAGAATGTGCGAGAACTGTAAATATTTGAGAATGGCCCGCGTCAACGAGCCGGCCACGCACTTTACCCAGCGTCTCCAGCCAATAATAGGAATACGCATTCGAGGTCCCTGGTGCTTCTCCCACCCCACCGTTTCGAATGTCATATCGCCCCAAATCCTTCTTGTCGTTATTCATCTATCGACAGTCAGTACCCGTAGATGTACACACAGCAGCACTGCAGCAGACGCACTTTTGTGGCTGAATCAATCATCCGCTGGAAAAACCCAGGGTCCTCCTCCGCCAGCTGGTAAAACGGCTGGAAATCCCGTCGAATCTGGTCGTACTCGTCGATTAGGCAGCCGCGCTCCTGCGCGAACGTGAACCATTTGTCGTAGTTTTGCGGCGGTGGGCGGCCGCTGCGGAGTCGGTAGCGGGCGGATGCTTGTGTCAGCGTCGATGACTGGCGATCCCGGAGGTACGCTATTGACTCGCGCGCGGCGGCCACGAATGAGGCTGACGAGCGGTCGACAACGCGGGGACCGGGGCGGTGTGGCAGTAGAAGGAGAGCGGCCAGAAGGCCGAGGAGAACGGTGGCGCTCACAAGCACCAGCACTCGTACCACCGGAAACATGCGTGTCCCTCGTCTGTGCCCTGGCCGGGAAATGGGCGAATCGAGCAGCGGCTCTGCCGTCTCTGCGTCGTCGTCGAGCGCGAGCGCCCGGTCATGAGCTGTAGAGGGGAGAGGGAGGCCCAGTCTCCGTAGCAGAGGCAGCATGAGGAGGGAGGAGGGAAAAGAGCGAAAACCGATGTTGTGAACATCGTGCGGAACGGAAACAGCGGACATCGGGATTTACACCGCCTTGGCGCCGCGTTTCAGCCCCGTGGTGGCGAAGGACAAAACCAAAACCCGTTGGCTCCACTTGAATGATAATCAACATGGTAGGCCTGACGTGGTGCGACCAAGATGCGGGCTTGCCCATTAGACCCTCAACTTCCAGCAGTGCTTGGAGCGCAGGGTCAAGGGATCCTGACGTCATCAGCGTTACCGTTGTTGTGATCACTCCGCAGTTGCCCGTCGTCAAGGTGTTTGTCGCCCATCACGGGGAACAAGCGGTATTACGAAAGATCCGTCGTTTTTCTGACAGTGACACTTCGATCTGGACGGACTTTAGAGATATCAGAAATTTTGAACTAGCCTCTGAACTTCAGAAATAAATTTTGTGGATGCCAAGGCTTTTCTGTGTAAAATTGTGAGCTTTCTAGCTGTACAGCTGCCAGTGAAAGCCATTCATTTGCACTGTAAAATATTTGCACCTGTATTCAAATATTTTGGAAAACCAAGTCCTGATAATCTCTTTTACATGCTTGTTTCAGCTCATTCTGTGGCTCACGCTGCAAGGCTCTTGGCTCACGGGCTGGTTAAGGCGGTGTTATCGGCTCCGAGGACAGCCGAAAGTCGTTCACTATACAAGAGCAATCAGAATCATAACCTCCCCGGAATACTAAGTGATCCTTACCGTCAGTACCTTTCGCTCGCAACGCTGCCTTCCGCTCCGCCTGCTCCCATATATCTCCACAGAAATCTTCCAACGCATCCGCAAGCCAGCGCATCTGTGTCTGTGGATCATGCTCATCTTCAAGAGAGCGGATAACGTCCACAACGAAGAATCGCGGGTCGTTACGGAGCTGCTGCCGCCACTGACGGCGGGGGCCCCAGTCGTCGGTCGAGCGATAAGAAAAGAAAAGCAGGACCTGCAGATTGGGACACCCGTCCGGCGCGAGGAGGTCCGCGCACGCCTGCTGGCCGGGCGTGGTGGAGAACGCGAGGTGCGTTAGTGCGGGGAGATGGCGGAGGGCCAGCCATGATGCGGCGGGGACCGGCCCGACGTGCCACGGGCCGGAGGCGGGCACGAATAGGTGCACGTGCGTGAGCCGCGGGAAGCGCGTGGGAAGCAGGTCTGCCGAGCGGTGCAGCTCCAGGACCGCGGGTGGGCAGTCGATGCGCGTGAGGCTAGCAAAGGTGGTTGAATCTGCGAGGAGATGGACGGTATAAAGCGCTGTGAGGTTCGGACATTTGGCGAGTATGCGCTCGCACTCCACACGGGGGACGCTCTCCTGCAGCAACAGATGGCGCACGATCTCCGTTCGCGGGCGGGGTATGGTCAGGAATTGACCGGACCGCATCGAGGGGTGTGTGTTCCAACCGGACTTGTAAATAATCAGACTCCGGTAGAGTAGAGGCTCCAACCTGGGGGGTATCAGCAGCGCTCGATGGCAGACGTTGCGAACCAATGTTTGACGCGCCAGGCAACGAGCATGAGATTCGGAATATCCTTTGCTCTGTCGCCAACGGCGGCCTCGAAGATCTTGCGCTCTAATTCGGGTGGCAGGCAAACCGACATGATGGTCGGAGGAGAAGAAGGTCCACGTCATGTGAGAGGGCATCATTGATGACAGATGTAATACCGAGAGACAAGAGTGGATTCAGTCCTCAGCGACAACACCAAAAGATGAGAACATAAGATAAAAACCAATCGAAGCAAGGTACAACACAGCGCCCGCGCTAACAACACTTCCCTGTCTGCGCCGAATTCGGTCCGGGCGTGATCGTTGTCCCCGACAGCTTGGATGTGTCGACCTGCGGGCCCGACGAAGAGTCATCAGTCGGTCGCCGCGACAGCACGCCGTAGATATCTGCCACACGTCATTTCCTAACCCGTCAAGAGCCTGGGATACGACGTACCCTTCAGTATCGTCCCAAAAGCCTCTTCGACTCCGCTCGCATCCAGCGCACTCGTCTCCATGAAGCTCATCTTGTACTCCTCCGCGAGCGCTGTGCCCTCGTCCGTGCTTACTGCGCGCCAATGCGCAAGATCGCTCTTGTTGCCGACAAGCATGAGCTGCATGTTGCCGTCGTCCACCTTGATGTTGTTCTTCAACTCCTGGATCCATTGTGGGACGGCCTCGAACGAGGGGCGTGAGGTGATGTCGTAGACGATGAGGGCGCCCGCCGAGCCGCGGTAGTATCTGCAGTGGGGTGGAAGGAGACAGAATGAATGAAATTGGAAACGCACGCTGCTGTGAGGGCCCGGAATCGTTCTTGTCCGGCTGGTTGTGCATTGTCTCAGTGCGCGGAAGGGAATATGAAAACAGCTGGCCGCACCGGTGTCCCAAATCTGCCCCTTCACGATCTTCCCGTCGATCTCCAGCGACTTCGTTGCGAACTCCACGCCAATCGTCGACTTCGAGTCTGGATTAAACTCGCCCCGCGTGAATCTCGAGAGAACTAGGTGGGTGGGCATCATGTCAGCGGCCCCGGGAAGTGAGACATACGGTTACTGAAAGGAGGTCAGCACCTGCCAGCGCAGAGGGTAGGGAAAGATAAGAGTTGGGGAAAGTGACAGCAAGGCAAGGAGAAATGACGCACGACTTTCCGACACCGGAGTCCCCGATGAGCACGACCTGCATATCCGCTTCAGCCCCTCACCCGCACCGCTCGCCCTAGCCTCACCTTGACGAGGAAGTCGTATGCGCGGTTCTCGATGGCCATTCTCGGCTGCAAACGTCGCTTGCGTAGTCGTTAAGCTGTACGTAGTAGAAGTAGGGGTGTGTAGCACAAAGGGCGGAAGAGAAGAAGCAAGAGCGGATGTGGGCGGAAGAAAAAGGCGGTGTGGCGGTGAACGGCCGAGCCGGTCGTCACGGTCGTGTCCCCGTCGTCGTGGCAGCTGTGTGACACGGTGTGTCAATCTCAATCTTACGATGGATTGATTGATCGGCCTGCTATCTCGTGATTGCGATCGTTCACGCTTGAAACGCCGCTGACCAACTACTAGTCGGCATTCGTTACTTAGTGCCGGGGTACAGCGATTCCGCGCCTATGAGAAATTCCAAGAAATTCTGCATATCAGAATAACAAATGGGCACTTGATGGGCACTCCCTTCAAAATTGCAAATGGCAGCCTGAGTTTGTGATGCGCAGGCTGAGTTTGTGAAAGCTCACTTTGGTGGGTAGTCCTACACATCAACCGGGAGCTCCTTTGTGAGAAGCAGCTCTGGAATACTCGAAGGTTGTAAACTCAGGCTCTTGTGGCATCTTGCCGACTTGATCGGCAGCAACATTCAATCAAACTACTATCATGATGAGAATCACCCACGTCATCGACCGACTGCCTTTTGCCCTTACCCTCCATGTTCCTCGCCGAATGGTGGTTGAGGCTCACGTATCCCCCGGTCGCTGGCGCGCCACGCTTACCCGAAGACCTCGAGCGCGAGATATTCATCCGCGCCGCACTAGCGGACACGCGTGGGACACACATCCCTCGTTTGCTCCGTGTCGCGAAACGGGTGCATTCATGGTGCGTGGTCAGTCTACGCGTGCTTTACCGGTGCTGACCGCTCTCCCGAAGGCTTGAGCCATATCTATATCGCGTCCTCTTGCTTCTGGACTACACCGACAACGCCAAGTTCATTGCGGATCGGCTGACCAGCAAGCCACCGCATATATGGCGTGACGGGCCGCGACACCTCTTTCTGGCGTTGGGAGATGACTCGCCCAATGTTACTGTGATGCGCGAGCTACTATCCGCATGTCCCCGGCTTGAAGATATCAATTTCTACCCTCCCGACGACCAGCCTGGCGTATTCCTCCCCGCCTTGCGCGGCATGGAGGAGCTCAGACAGCTGTCGACCGAGCTGGCCGCGCTTTTCGACAGGACTCGCGGTATATCGAGCATCGACCTGACTGGCCCCGGATTCGCCGCGCTCACGCATCTGATGCTCTTCGACGATCTTCCGTTTGTCACCGAGTTCGAAGCCACGCACCTCTCCACACAACTCGCGCTCCTCCCTGCGCTGACACACCTTGCGCTCGTGGGCACTATCCAGAAACACTTGGTGATTGCCATCCTGACCACTTGCGATGCCACGCTGCGAGTCCTTGTCAATCGACGTCCAGACCTGCGTCGACACACGGTACAGACGATGTATGAGCGAGAGCTTAGTGGGGTGACCGATGTACGCCTCGTGATTATGCCATTCGGGGTGTGGGTAGGCGAGTGGGAGGACGCAGCGCGGGGCGTGAAGGACGACTTCTGGGTGGAGGCAGAACAATTCGTCGCGCAAAAGCGACAGAAACAGATAGATGGTGCGTCATGTCTGCTGGAGTTCTCGACCGACAGCTCATCACACGATACAGCGGATACATTCTGGACGGATGAAAACATGACTGTGTAGACCGAAGGGTGCGCAATAATAACCTCGCATGCTTCAGCAGTATTTAGGTGTCGTCCACTTCGATGAGTAGTCGTTTGACCTTCTCCGTGAACCAGATCCGCTTCCACGCACTGAACCCAGGGATGTCACCCGCCAACTTCTCCATGAAAGCGTCGCGTAGCTCCTCGTCGGCGGCCGCGAGCCGATATAGGTCCTCGCGGCCGACATTCATCCCCTTCAGTGGCTCATACAGCTCGGGCTGGCCGATCTGCCTGAGGAAATTCGACAGGAAGTTAGGGTGAGCATCTGGATCACCGATCACTGGCTGCTGTCCTGGTGGTGGAACGCTGGCTTCGCGACCAAGCGGGTCGGGACTAGGGGTTCGGATGTCGATGGGCAGCCGACGCGCTCCCCGGCGGGGACCTGACAGGCCATCCGCGGGTACGACGACCTGCTGTGGCTCCCTTTTTACGTGTGCCTTCTGCCAACATTGTTGTCAGCGGTTGCGAGGCCCGATGCGTGCGGCGTACCTGTGCAAGGGAGAGACGCTGCCAGGCCGCCTTGAACTTTGGCAACGCAGCCTCCTCCGCAATGGCCCAGTCCTCCCTCTCGTCGTCCTTCCCCGAGCGGTAGTCGTTCCGGATGATGCGCTTCATGGTCGAGGTCGAGCCCCCAAAGTCGTCCAGAAGGGTCGCTTTGGGGACCCCGGCGCGGTAAAGCACACGGATGCTCGCCCAGACGTCGCGGTTGTGCAGTCTGGCTCATCGGTCAGCGGGCGCCGCGGAAGGGCACGACTCGTGTGTGGTAGCTCACATGCGGGTGTCCATGTTGTACTGACGCGACAGACAGCGAGATGCGCTGGACGAGGTCGGGTCAGAGACAGAGGTGAGAACGGTCGGTCAAGACCCCCAAGGGTCTCTTGGCCACTATATAATGTCTTCGCTAAGGGTGACAGAGCCTCCCACGTGTGCAGTGATAGCCAGCCCGTTAGTGTGCAGCTGACTAGACCCTAGAGTAGTACCACAAACCTGGGCTGCATATTACAGCATGCCAATGTTGATGATAAGTTTATGTGCTTGATAAATAGAAGATAACCTGTGAGATAACCAAAACCATTCTTATAATAATCTAATAATTATTAATCACTGAAATTGTAAGGGCAATCCCAGAGGCCTGAGATCAAGGTCCTAGTAGGGGAGGATCTAAAGAGAGGAAACTTTAAGTGTCTGCCTGTGACTATATATCACTTGTCCGTGATGGTCCGGGTGAAAACAGGGGTCAGACCTGAATCAGAATCAGACCAGAATTGTCTCCAGGGGGCTGAAGGGAGGTTCCCCTCACAAAAATTAATGAAGCAGGTAAGAGTCGGATAAAGCTATTTGGTATACCAATCTGTCATAGTACATGGTGTCCTTCTATTTAGTATACTGTTGATGATCAAATTTCACTTTTAGGTGATATGCGTGACAAGTGTGACACAGCTATGCGTGACAAGTGGGACGCAGCTAGACAAAAATGTTGGCACCAAAGTAAACACAAGGGGAAACACTAGATGTGAATACTTTGGTTCATATCAATCAATTTTTAGTAGTAGGCAATTTATATCCACTTAGTATACTGTTTTACTGCAGATAGTTGAGTTATAGTAGAGGGGGGACCAAACTTAGATGTAGATGAGTAGCGATCAATTCCCGATAGTATTGATCAATTTCCGATAAGCCCCATCAATTTCCGATAAGGCCTATCAATTTCCATCGACAGGCCGTAAACTCCGATTCTGAGACAGTTTTCAACACAATAAGCAACCACCCATCCGGATACTCACATTGGGGATTCACGCAAAAACGGGGGCCGAAGCAGGACTTATTTGTGGGAAAACCAGCGCCAAATGGGGTCAGCCAATTGGATTTAAATCAAGGCCGCGGATTTCCGCGCACGTGACTCGGAAATTACCTCATTTGGTAATTTCCAAGTCATGTGCACCTAAATCAGGGCTGTAACAATCGGCCCCCGTTATTTGGGCCTGTATCTGCCACAAATAAGTCCAGCTTTGGGCCGCTTTTTTCCACCAAAACCCCGATGCGACTTATATTATAAAGCCCAGATATGTAATTCCCTAAGTAGGCCAACTGACAGCTGTAGTGTGGGCATGCGGTGTGATTATGCCCAATTTCATAACATATGCCATATTGTTTGCTGGATTTCTTGCTGATTGTTGGCCCATGCACTCCACCACTAATAGGTATTAGGCATGGGCACAAATATCCATATTCGCACAGCCACCTATTTGCAATCCGCGGATATGAATAAAGATAATCTGGAGGATCAGGCAATGTGGGACCATATATCCCCACTTCTACTGTTAAAGTAGCTTAGTTGTCCTGTTGCTGATTGCTTCAAGTAGCACTTAGCTACTATGCCAAAAGGTTGGTCACGAATAATTCTGTCACCATAAAGTCCTATCTGTATCCATCTAGATACAATCCATGTATTCTTCTGGATCAAGCCAATCCATGCCCATCCCTATGATGCAATTCACTTAGTCACCACCAATTTTTGTACCTTATGTAAGCATGGCGGAACCAGAGGATAGATATGAGTTGTGGTCAAACAATGGAAATTTTGTGTATTTTTTAGATAGAGTGGGTGACTTCCCGTCAGAAAAATTTGATGGATTTTGCATGAATAGACCCTTTGCCGAGATGCCAGCGGTCCCATCAGGACCCCATCAGACTGAAATCCCCATTTGTGTCTCTAATAAACCTCAAAAGTGCTTACATTTATTCAGAGGGTCAGAATCCCCCCCCCAATAATCTGTTTTCTTGCCTCCATCACGTAAACTTACTGTTTTGGGACAACTGCAATCACTGTCACAGAGTGTGACACTGCGACATCTTGCTTTGCTCAATGATAAGCCGTCCCAGCAACATGCACACGGCAAATTGAAAAATTTCTTTCCCAGTAAAAAGATGAATTAATTTTAAACATTTTTATATGCATTTCTCAGTGAAAGAAATACTGAATTTTAATTGCATAGAAACAGATATCAAAACAATGCCTTTTTGCTTGTGTTTCAGACAGACAGAAAGCTGACCTTTCCCTGATCATGAAAGACGATTTGAAAGATGGGCTTTTGGGGCTTCTTTCTGTTTATATAAAAAGGTCACCTTTGTGTAAAAACAAAAAATCACTTGAAATTGCCTCTTTTTGTGTTCCTTTTTAAGCCGCACAAAGAACTGATTTCAATGATGCAGAAAGACACTCAGAAAGATGTTCTTTCCCTTTCTCTTTTGTTGCCATACAAAGATGTTCTTTGTTCCTAAAAGAAAGAGAAAGAGAAAGAACATCTTTCCCTGCACCTTTCTAATGCAGCAAAAGATAGCCTTTTTGGAGATACAGAAAGTCTGAGAGAAATAAGATATTTATTTTATACCCTAGGGTATATCCGAGGGTATACCCTTGGATATACCCTAGGTCTACCCCACAGCTTAGCTCGGGTTATCTTCTATGTAAAGTGCAAATTATGATACTAGTATACTAGTTTGATGCTAGCAATCTCAGTCAGTCCCACCGACCAAAATCCAACCCATCGGCATCGCGTCTTGCCCAATCGCCGGCCGGTTGACAAACTTCCACCGTCTTCATTGAGTCATTGACGCGGCCGTCATACACCACTGAACTCTCCACCCTCCTCTTGTACTTAGTTCCTATGGCTTGGATGGCAAGTAGGCATGCATGGAATCAAATAGGCCGCCATAACGACCGCCTCATCCCTCCGTCTTTACTGGACAGGCCTTCGACGGGCGGCGGATCAAAGGATCAAGGGCGGATTACGCAACTTTGGGGCATTGTAGTGAATGACATAAGCAAGCCGAGGTACACAGAATGAATCAAGGCAAGAGGGGCGCCAAAGGACGTTCTAAACATTCTGAGGCAAGGTTAACGAGGATTATCCTGAGGCGGATCGGAATACCGCCGCCGCCGAACTCCCTGGGGGAACGAGAGAAGTTAAATGTTCCAGTCTCTTGGCCGTAGCGGCGCCCTCATAAATGCTCCACGTTTGCGATTGTCAGGAAGCGTTCTGCTCGTTCGGTTGCTTGGCGAGTATGGAACTTGGACGACTTCCGCCTTCAATACGTTGCGTAGTTGGTTGACGCAGAGCGCGCTCAGACAAAATGCCAGACTTGTGATAGCGCAGAGCGCGCCGAACAGCGCTGGCAGGAAGAAAAATGTGATGTGACTGGAATCGGTGCAAGACGTGATTCGTGCTCCTTGACTTGCGAATAACAGCAGAAAATACCTGTCAGTAGGCGTTCCAAACAGTGATGCGCGATTCTTTGGATAGTGGAACCGGTCTGCAAGGAAAGGATTCACAGACACCAGTATAGGATTCCGTTGTCAAGAACGGGTCCTGGAGGATACTTTTGATGACCGCCGTTGCTGTACACAAATGACCGCGCCGGTATGAAGGTGGATTTAACACGTACCCAGATGTGTGTGGTCCTCTTCTTGTTGTGGCACTGTTTATGTCTCCATCGCTGACACGGGCTACAAAGCCCTCTTTGATGAGAATGTTGGCGAGGGCATTAAGACTTGTTGTGGCGCTGGTATGGGCGGTATACTGTATCAAAAGTTTTTCACAACTTTCAACTTTTTTTTTCAGACTTTTTAGGGACAACTCCAGGCAAGGTGTTCCCAGCTAAAACAACTGCCGGAGGGATTAATACAACTTGTGATTTACAACAACATCCTTCATTTTCTCAACTACAATCTCAACTTTTCATATAGCAACTTCTTTCCAGAGCAACTACAACTTTGAATTTGTTAGTTGCAGGTTTTCAATATGCAGAACAACTTTAAAGTGATTAGCTGCAAAATCTTCTGCCACAACTACAACTTTCATATTATATATTGCAATCAAGCCAAGTCTTATGTCGGTAGAGACAGTAATTTATCCTCCATATGTCTGATTACAGGAATTAAAAGCCAGGGAATTTCCAGAATTAATTTCTACAGACTAGGTATAAGGGTGCACCTAGATAGTTGACTATATACTATGCTGTTGCTACACCAAGAGTGATTGTTACTCTGAGTATGACTGTAACTACTAGACAGTGGTAGTGATTGGAACAGGAGGTTCATCTGACACGTTCAGAAAGAACTGGCAGAAATTTGTCATATTTTAGGCATTCTCACCTGACATCATCAATCTCACAAAACAAATTACTAGCTAACTGAAACAGACAAACGGAGAAAATTGACTGTGCCTAGGCTCTGTGCTTGTTTCTGAATAGTCTGATCTTTTATTAACCTGGGAGATTCCAATTAATGATGGAAATAAATTTAATAATCTGATTGAACTCCCATATTACATAAATGAATAAATAAAACTCTCTACTAGAAATTTCTAGCTTCTGTTAATATCAGAGTCAAGTTTCAAAGAAAGTTGGACCAGGCTTGTTGAAAGTTGCAGTATAAGAGATTGCAAGTTGCACATGCTTTTCTAAAGTTGTAAGTTGCATGTCCAAAGTTGCAATAAGGAGTTCAAAGTTGCAAGTTGTTTCTGTTAAGTTGCTGCAGGGAGTAATAGTTGTCAGCCATGAAGTTGTGCATAAAAAGTTGCAAGTTAAGCACAAAGACAACCAGTTGTATCATTGAGTTTTGAATAAAATCAAAGTTGTACCTAAATTCTCACTGTTTTGGGTAGAAGTTGAAAAAAACTTTTGCTATACAAAAGTTTGGGGGGTTCTGGCAGGTCTGAGGTTGGTTTTGTACTACATTTGTAGTATTTTAGCATGGAACATTAGGTGGGCATGTAATATGCTTA